ATTCTATTCTATTCTATTCTATTCTATTCTATTCTATTCTATTCTATTCTATTCTATTCTTACATTTCTATGTGAAGTGATCCTTGGCGTAGGATTTGAATGACGAGCAGTTCTTTAATGTGATATTTCCATTCTTTAAATTCAAAAGACTTGTAGCCTAATGTTTGAAAACACTTTTGATCTCTATGCGGCTCAATGTCTGGAGTATGCTTTTATGTTTTGTGATGGATAGCTGTTCTTCAGAGGCCAGCTGAGTTAGCCTGTGCCAAAAACTGGATGTTATACATACAAACACCCATAAACTATGTTGTACTTAGTTGTTCTAAGTTATACTGAGCTGTTGATCCTATGCCACACAATAGTGATGTTAACTGAGTAGTATTTTAATTAATTTTAATGTTTGATAGAAGAAAAAGAAGTTCACGTTTCAGCCTGATACAACTGTAGCTCCAGGATTTCTACATTCAAATCCTCTTATTTTGCAGCTGGCTCACTCAGTAGTGAATTTAACTGAACATCTACCTATTACAAATGTGTGTGTGTGAGAGAGAGAGGGAGGGAGAGAGAGGGGGGAGGGAGGGGGAAGGAGAGAGAGATTCCAGATATCAAATTTTGAACTTTGTGGGGTAAAAGATGTTTGGGTTTCTCTTCAAGATCATGAAAGGCAGCTGGAATTTGTTAATATAATAGTTTCCATTAGATTAAAACAGCAACACGCTAGAAAAAAATACATATTTTCTCAAAACATTCATTATGAAGACCCTTGGCAACTTGTCATTTGTAAGCAGTGTTAGGATCCAAATAGCTTCTCTTGGTCAACAATTTTTTTTTTTCAGGATCTAACCAGAAGAACTTTTATAGCTAGAATTTCTCAAACTTGGCATCTTTATGAAGTGTGGATCAGTGGTGGGATTCAATTTTTTTCACTACTAGTTCTGTGGGCGTGGCTTGGTGGGTGTGGCAGGGGAAGGATACTGTAAAATCTCCAGTCAGAGGTGGTATTTGCCAGTTCTCAGAACTATTCAAAATTTCCTCTACTGGTTCTCCAGAACTGGTCAGAACCTGCTGAATACTACCACTGGTATGGATTAACTTTCAGGATGGCTGGCTGGGGAATTCTGGGGACTGAAGTTCACATAGCCAAAAGTTGCCAAGTTTGAGAAAAACTGCCCTAGCCTCTAATGTATCCACTGTGATTTTATTTTACCTACTATGCTGCGATTGCAGATATATCAATGGATTTATGAGCAACTTAATTTATTATCTCTTAATTTTTCTTCCTACTACTCAGTTAACTTGGATTATAAAAAAATATATATTTTCCTTCAATCACCTCACCATATAGCATTCAACTATTTAAAGGGACATTCCCAATTTGTACGGATTTCTTGAGTTTATCCTTTATCAATTATTTGAAATACAGTACAGTACACCAGAATTCAGAATGTGGAATTTGAGATTTAATTTGCAGAAATGCAGGCATGAAACTGAAATGAGAGAAAAAAAACAACCTCTTGCTAACATTAAGAGCAGTTTGATATACAAAGGATTACAAAGAAGACAGGCTTTCTCAGACTACCCAACTATCTACAATGTTGTTTTCATTTGGATTGCTACTCTGAGTAGGACATAATGATCCAAATAATCTCTTCTGGTGTTATGATTATAAGGCAGTGGCATGTTGAAACTGCCACCAAGCCTGTAGAAGGGCCTGTTTAATAAAAGATGGATGCAAATGATTAAGCATTTCAAGAATGGGATACAGAAGTTTGGGATTCATCTACGCTAACCTTGAACAATCTCCAGATAGGTTCTTTCAAAGCCTGATATGTGCGCATTTGGCAATGCAGGAATTTTTTGCATTTTTTTTTAGAACAGTTATTAAAAAAGTATTTAGCATTTGAAATTTGAAACTATGATAACAGTATTTTAATGAGTAGTTTTAACTGTGTGACCAAAGCTTGTGCACCTGGAGATTCTAAAGCAAAGCAAAACACAAAACATCTGAAGAAATATTGGACAACTCACATTGGTGGTGACTTAACTGATTAATAATAACTTAGTATGATTACTTCATTAAAATTAATTATATAAAGCAAAATTAACTTTTCAAGATGTTCTTTTCCAGTTTTTTTCAAGTTTTAATAAGAATTGTATTCAGTGGTAGGATTGAAATAATATAACAACGGGTTCTCTGCCCTAATGACTGGCTGGGTGGGTGTGGCTGGGTGGGTGTGGTCAGGGGGTATGACAGCACTCAGCCTCCTGCAGCACTCTGCCAGCCAAACTGGGGCACAGGAGTTAATTATAAAATGTGGGCTTTGCTTTGTGACATCCAGAGCCAGTGAGCACGGGGTGTGAATTGCACAGAAAATACACTTTTGTTACGAAGAAATATCCCCAAAGTCAGATGTACAGTATATGTAGGCTGACTTTTAGCTACACACCTCTCCAGCAAACAGCAAATTTTGAAGCTCCAGGTAAAGAGGATTCTTTTTAGGATGAGTAACCACGGTTTGCATGATGGAGGTTCCTAAAGGAATGCTGGGAAACTCTGTGTTTTAAAGAACATTTGAGGGAGGGGTGCCTGGCACCAATCAAAACACTTTTTGTGAAGCAACTGATCAACAATGACAAGGTAAGCCGCAAGTATATGAAAATAAGAGCAAACTCCACTTCCTTCTAGTACTGATGATGTTACCTAGTTTGGTAATGAAACATCTGCAAGAAAGTCATCAAGCTCAGAGAGCACCAAGGAACCCACAGTTCAACCCTGAGCTACAAATATTCTATCAATAAACACGTTTTGGTTAGAGGAATTCAGAGACTGCATAATATGAGATGGCTCCCAGTGGATTTCATTCTAAATCTTGATATGATTTCTGTAAATAAGGAATTTAGAATTATCATGGCTGAGTCTTTGATCCTTCATACATCAGAAAAATACAAAGCTAAAGAATAAACAAATAAACAGATATGAAAAAAGAAAAGGCTCAGGAAAGAAAAAGAGTGAAAATGTAAGAAAGAAAAAAAAAGGAAAACTGAAAAAGACTGTCTTCCAACTTTCTTTTATACAGATATGTAAATATATATATAAAACTAGTACTCTAATATTACATTTGTCTACATTATTTCTACAATTCCTTATTTAATCATCAAAGCTCAGATCAACTTTTGATTTCAGTTTCTCACAAAAAGTCCAGTAATGGTTCATACCACTTTAATCACTATTTGTTAATGAAACCACAACTGATTTATTTAATTGCACCAAACTCTAAATAAAACAGGAATGGAAAATCCTAAGCTCAAGTGTAGACCCATGCTTCTCAACTTTGGCAACTTTAAGGTGCATAGACTTCAATTCCTAGAATTTCCCAGGCAGCATGAAGTATGCCCACCTTAAACTTGTCAAGACTGAAAAATGCTGATCTACAGGTAGGGATTTTCCCATTCCTCTTTTATTGTTTGTTTCTTACTTATGAGCAATGATCATGCAAAATCCCCATTCCCAACTCACCTTAGAGCAGGGGTTTGGGGCCTGGAAGACGGAGGTGGTATTCAGCAGGTTTTGATTGGTTCTGGAGAACCAGTAGTGGAAATTTTGAGTAGTTTGGAGAACCAGAAAATGTCCCCTCTGACTGGCCCCGCCCCCATCTATTCTCTTCCTCCCAAGTCCCAGCTGATTGGCTGGGTCTTCTTTGGTTGCTCTGCACAGGAGAACAGAGCTAGAAAGCAAATTAGTGGGGTGAGGAGGGAATGGGATTTTGCAGTATCCTTCCCCTGCCACACCCACCAAGTCATGCCCACCAAGCCACGCCCACAGAACCAGTAGTAAAAAAATTTGAATCTGCTGGAAGGCCTCCTGCACCATCCTGGAAGCCAAAACGGGGCATCCTGGGAGGGGTGGGGCCAGGCGGGATTAACCAGTTCTCTAAACTGGGCAAAAAGTTAACAACTGGTTTGCTTGAACTAGCACGAACTGACTGAATCCCACCTCTGGTTGTATTTCACAAGACTACATGCACCTCTGAAAACATTTTAATAACTTCCCTTTACCTTGTTTAGGTATCAAAATGCATGTTTGGTATAATCATGACCCTAAAATATCACTGAAATGAACATAGTAACATTTCAAAAATAAAATTAAAAAAGCACTAATTTATTTTTAAATGTTGCAATGATTTATAAATATAATTCACTTAATATATAGACTCAAGAGTTTCATATTATAATGGCAGCAAAGGTATGGAGACAGAGAATCCCTTAGAGCAGGAGCATCAAACTCAGGTCATCATGTCCTTGTCATGTGATGTATCGGGACTTTTTCCCCCTTTGCTAAGTGGGCGTGGCCAGTGCTTGACGCATCTGGCCTGTAGGCCAGGAGTTTGACACCCCTGCCTTAGAGAATCAACTCCTCAAAA